CCCTGGCGATACACTAGTGATGTGTCCCTTAGTCTACCATTCAGCTATGATGAGCACTTTTGTCACTAATCTTGGTTATCGGATAGTCCAGTCTCCACCTGCTGAAATTCTGAGGGAGATTAAAGAAGATATGCTGGGTATGGGCTTGAAGAAGTTCGTTCGCTGGGATCAGAAGGGAAAGTTCGGTGAATCCTATGTGCTGCCGAAGCACAAGGATATCGAACGATTCCGACCGATTTGCCCAACTTTCAATGAGCCGATGGTTCGTACAGGAAGACTGGTTGCGAAAGCTCTGAATCACATGTTATTCCAGCTACCGATGGACTGTCATTTCAATCTACAGGCGGTATCATAGCTGGCAGGGAGACTGCAGCGAATCAACAGGAAGATTGAGCGTTTGGAACAGGTATCCGAGGTGGAGTCGGCCTCTTATGACATCAAGGAGATGTTTAGCCGACTCCCGCATGACGATATTTTGGAGGCAGTGGAGTGGATTGTGGGACACCACCAGGGGAAGGGAAGGCTATTTGTGAGGGTGAATACAAGGGGTAAGGGGGCAAATTTTGGAGTAACAACTGACGCTGATCACTGGCGCAAGTTGGAGTTTAGTGAGATTGTGAAGTTCATTCGTCTGGAACTGCGACACACGTACACATACGCCACCGGTGTCCAAGTTATCGGGATCCCGATGGGGAAGAGCACTAGCCCTCCCTTAGCATGCATTATGTGTGCGTTGGCTGAGTGCAGGTTTCTGAGCAGCATCGGACAGTACAAAAAGCAGGTGTTTGGAGTGAGACTAATCGATGACGTAATCTTAACGACTGTATCACTACGGAAGGAGGAACGAGCAGAGGTGTTGAGAAAGTTCGAAAACTGTTACCCAGAGAATTTGATCCTGAAAAGGACTGACTCTGGTAGCGGTATACTACAGTTTCTGGGATGTGAGGTTAGATCAAGTCAGTCTAAACCTCACTTAGGGTGTGTACAGCTCGTGAAGAACGAAGAAACAATGTGGACTGAGGAGAGGTAAGTTTTCCAAAACGGTCAGTCCTACTCATCATGGGGAAGCAAACACCAGAAGAATGCGATAATCGGGAGTCACCTACATCGTATCAATCAGAACACCACAATCAGGTCCGAGATTCCGATGCGAGTGCTAACAGTGAAACGTGAGCTCCGGTTGAAAGGCTTTCCTTCTGAATGCTTTGAGAAGGTAGTGAAGCAGTTCGTGGCAGGGAAGGATGAGATGTGGCACCAGACAGTGAAGATTCTGTATCCGTGAGGTTAATCGTGCGCAAAGTGGTTGTAGAGTAATGTACCAAGGAGTATCATCTGTTACTAGTGATTGTAGTGTTGATCTTGGTTGACCTCGTTTTGAATGAATGAATGTCGTGTG